CTTCTCCTCCACTTCCTTCTCCCTTCCTCCCCTCTTGGTGGACTCCTACTAGGACTTGGAGTCCTAGTAGGACTCCACATCCTGGCCGCACCAATTGCCTTGGCCGGCCTCCTCCTCCTCCATCCTTTATATACTGAGCCAAGGGGCACCTCATGGACAGAAGTTGATCTTCATGATCGTTCCTTAGCCGTGTGCGGTGCCCCCCTCCACCATATTCCACCTCGGTCATATTGTAGCGGTGCTTAGGCGAAGCCCTGCGACAGTAGAACATCAAGATCGTCACCACGCCGTCGTGCTGACGGAACTCCTCCTCGGCGCTTTGCTGGATCGGAGCCCGGGGATCATCATCGAGCTGAACGTGTGCCAAGAACTCGGAGGTGCCAGAGTAACGCTGCTTGGATCGGTCGGATCGTGAAGATGTATGACTACATCAACCGCGTTGTCACAACGCTTCCGCTGTCGATCTACAAGGGTACGTAGATCACACTCTCCCCTCTCGTTGCTATGCATCACCATGATCTTGCGTGTGCGTAGGAAAATTTTGAAATTACTACGTTCCCCAACAAATAGATCAATCAGTGATGGCACTATACTCATTACTCGGCCTCTTCACAATATCTTGTTCCCATCGAGATCCGTAAAATCGACTCCAGTATCCAAGCAGTTTTGTAATTGATGTGTGCAAATATTGATCATTGATTGTATCGCAAATTCTGGTTCGATAAAATCTTAAGGTCATCCACTTGACGAAAATTGCTGCTTACTACACCCTTGCACTTGGGGGGGCAGCACCTTCTTAGATCAGAGGAAGCAGACGACTCATATCATCACAACTACACAAGCCACAACATTAGTCTATCTTTGCATTTCCCCCTTAAAACATGTACAAATATAACCTACAAGCAGTAATATGGATGATCAAGCAATTTATATGCATATGTAAATATTATATTTTGGTCATAATTCATTGTGAGATCCACAAGACAACAAAATGACCATCTACAAGATATCTATGAAAATCCTACCATGTACACGAATGTTTCTCTCCTTTCTCCACGTCACTAAAATTGTACTTTGTATGTGCGGAACCCCTTGCAATCCTTGAAAAAGACATAGTTGCAACAACAACTCTAGCAGATTCGACCAGGGGGGGAGGGAGGACTCTATAATAACCGTCAATATGAAGGCTAGAGTTGGGAAAAATGTCTATCATAAGTGCCCGAACCTCCGGAAATGAATGGAGTGTACTTCAAAAATTGGATCGTAGCCTCCATATTTGGAGGTAGGGGTCTGTTTTAGAGTCGTGTCCTAAACCCAACTAATGTGGCACGAGTGACATTTCAGCCTTGTCCTCCTCGCTTAATGATAATGTCGCATGTACCAGTCCTACAAGCATCGGGGAACATGTCCATTGACATCGTCTGTCGTATTTTCACCTTCCCACACTCATTCATTCCCCAATTTCATGTTGCACGCCTATAAAAGGCGGCTGTTGATGCCCAACTCCCCCCCCCCCTCGATCTCTCCTCTTTTACTCCCAGACCGATCCGCACGCATTATTGTCGCAGACACCATGCGCCTCGCTGCCCCTCGGGAGGAGGACCACCCCATGGCTCCACCGGCCCCAAACAGAGAACGAGCAGTGGGAGATGGCCACCCCATGGCTCCACCGGCCCCAAAACAGAGAACGAGCAGCGGGACATGGCCACCATCAAAGCCCTAGCCACAACTACCACCATCAATGGAGGAGGAGGATGCCACCCATGAGGCACAAGCCACTACTGATGAGCAAGATGCTTCTTAGGAGGGCCATGTCATCGATGACAAGATGGTCGGCATCATGTTCCCAGAGGAGGACAATGCTTACTCACGGAGTCCCACGAGTCGGACGCCAGGGATGATGCACGTCATCACATCAAAGCAATGACAAGGTCGCGCCAACATCACTCCCTCGCTGTTTGGGAAGCTTGGGAAGCCTGCAACACTAACCACTTCGTCGTCCCGCCCCTTCGGCCTTAGTATTTTGACAAGAACGTGGGTTGGACGGAGTGCTTAGCCGGCGGCATCTCATGCGATGGACGGCATGAGGGAGCCCAGCCCCACTCGATAAGCCACCCCCACCCCCACCCCCCTCGTGCGTTGATGCTGACAATGCATGGGTGACATGGGATGCATATGAACTTTCCTATTTTTGCATTTGTCCGCACTCCAAAGCCGTAGCTTGCGTCGACAAGTCTTGCACCAGCTCGTCCTGCCTGCTCTAAAATGCACTAATAAACGACTAATTTTTCCATCATATATGCCAGTACTAAGTGACCGAGCGGTTATCTTTTTGCCCTTATATAAGTGAACCCTTCGTTCTAGAATATAAGGTGCATCGGTTTTCGTGGAAGTCAAACATATGTTTTTTTGTGAATGGTCAAACATATGTTTATTAGAATAAAATGTCAATATCTACAATACAAAATAAATAAAATATGAAAGTAATTTTGGTAATGGATCTAATGATACAAATGTGGTATTGCAGATAATGCTACTTTTTTTTATTAAAGCGTGATAACGCATGTACATGTTTGACTTTTGAAAACCCGAGTATTTGTGTTTGGTGTTAAACTAGACGAAGTTTGGCTTGAAAATCTATGTCAGATAGAAGCGCAGAAACTTGACACAAAATAAATAACAACGACGTCCTAATTACATGAGCCGTCGTCCCTGGCTTATGGAGTAAGTGTATGCCAACTAGCCAAAAACAGACTTGTGACCGTGGTAGATATGACTTGGAAAACAATCGAAACTAACCAGGCCCAAATCCTCTAAAATAAGGAACTACGAACTCATGCGATGAGTTTCGAGTTGTGGCAAAAAATGAGAGATGTTTCCCCCTTCTTATAATACAAGAACGCTTTTTACAGTAGTGTAGTGTCAAAAATAATCTTATGTTATGTTATGAGACGGAGGATTTTTTTTTGTTTTGTTTTTTGAGTCTGTTATGAGACGGAGGAAGTCCTTATGAATCTGAATGCACATCAAGCCCACGGGCCACGGCAGCCTTCCAAGTGCCCTTTGCCCTCGTCGCAGATCCGGACCATCCTAGCCGTACATCGCAGGAAGCCTCTTCCTGGTTCCAACCCGACCCGCACAAACGAATCGGAAATCCGGATAGAGCGCCGCCCCCGCCCCGCTCCGCCACGAGATTCCGCCGCCGCCGGAAGCCGAGGACGGGAGGGAGACCATGACGACCATTCGCCGGTTCTGCTGCGACGATCTGCTCCGCTTCGCCTCGGTCAACCTCGACCACCTCACCGAGACCGTAAGCCATCCCCAAAAGATCCATCTCTCGCTCCCTTTGTTGCTACTGTTTCTCCACGACGCCGTCCGGCCGTCCTCTTCCCGGTCTGATACGTCGATTCGCTCGCCGCAGTTCAACATGTCCTTCTACATGACGTACCTGGCTCGCTGGCCCGACTACTTCCACACCGCCGTCAACCCCGGCGACCGCGTCATGGGATACAGTATGCCTCCAGCCCTCATACCATTGGTCGACTTGTGATTCTGCTTCTTTGTTTCTCAGATTAGCTGAAGCTGTAGAGTGTGAACCCCCTCGATTTCGCTCTGGAGAGTTGAAGGGTAGGAATTTTTAGGGATAGGTTTATCTGTCTGTTTAATTTGCGCACAAGTAATGGTTTCTGGAGGTGCATATTCATTTCAATCCTGTGAATCTTGGTAGAGTTTATGACATTGTTCTCCAATTTGGCCTTGCTCTGTGCCTCTCAGTGGTGAAAGCGGCACTTGTGATTGTGTGAGATTTGAAGGCTATTTATTTACAAATGTTGCCAATTGACAGTATAACTGTAGTTAGCTTATGGGTTTGAACTTGAATGAAAAGGGAATGAACATCATCATATTAGAGAGACGATGCCTTTTTGTGGTGTCAATTAGACGAATACAGTCTTTTCATGTTATATCTGTTCCATTTCTGCCTTGTCCACTCTCTCATAGTTTAGGAGGATCTTTACTTATTAAGTTGGGTATCGGCTGCAGTTATGGGGAAGGTTGAAGGACAAGGTGAATCTTGGCATGGACATGTTACGGCAGTGTCCGTTGCCTCAGAATTTCGCAGACAGAAATTAGCCAAGACGCTTATGCACTTGCTGGAGGAAATCAGTGATAAGATGTAAGTACCTAGTTTCCTTCTGACTGAATCACCAGTATTATACTGTTGTCATATATTATAATGATTTCTGCTTTATCCCCCATTGAAAGCTTTCATCACTCTCCACAATTTTAGCCGCCAAAAAGCTTGTACTTCCTGATTCCAGCATCTCGTAACTTGATCTGTATAACCAACCTAGTTCAAGTTTGGAAGGTCTTCTGTGTGTCCTATGGGTGGGGGGGAGGCGTGATGGCTGACCAGTTGGACAGTAACAATTATCAAGAAAATATGATCAGAAACACATCTTGGCAGAATTTTGTATAGTAGTAACTGTGCCGTGGCATTACAGTTCTGTGCTTGCTAGCTCCCCTTACAGCTTCTTATCAGTTGCATTCTCAAGAGCATCTCTCCCAGGCACATTTCCTCCTACTAGGCACCACAACCTCTCACACATCATAGAATTGGATGATTGAATTAAATATATCAACTCTATTGATGCCGTACTGCACTTCACTCTTCTCTCTGTTAATATACCATTTTAAAAATACCAACATTTGGAATCCATAACTGCTGTAATCTGTTGAACCTTGTACTAGACGTTACTCCATATTACACTAAGGCTATTCTTCTGTTCAGGGATAAGGCCTATTTTGTGGATCTCTTTGTAAGGGCGTCCAACATGCCGGCAATAAGGATGTATGAAAAGGTACGCCTGCAAACTTCATGTTCGATATCTTTCTGCTGCTGTATAGTACTGATAACTGATTAGTCAATCCCCAGTTCTTGAAACCAGCAATTTCTTATGCTTCCAGTGAACAAAAATTATTATAATGTTTGGCAACGAAACCAAGAAACGATATGCGAAGCTTGCATCATAGCATGTATATTTTAGTTCAAGATGAAAGTATCCTGAGCAAACGTATCTAATTATGCTCATTGTTCTCGTAGCTGGGCTATGTGGTTTATCGAAGGGTGCTTCGGTACTACTCAGGGGAAGAAGATGGCCTTGGTAAGTACTTGAGTGTCATACTTATGTCGTCTCATACTCAGATTATTTGCTCCGATGCTATTGCTCACATTTTTATTTTATTTGTATTTTCTTAGATATGAGGAAGGCATTATCACAAGATGTTGACAAGAAGTCCATCATACCACTCAAGAGACCAATTACACCGGACGAACTTGAATACGACTGATGCTAAATTCTAACTAGCACTCTTGCGTGGTTGTGTTCCCATTGATCTGCACGACTTCTATGGCAGCTCAACAAGTTATTATCTCTAGTGTTGTTGAATGAGTGATCCTGAATTTTTCTATTCGCACATTCCTGTTAAGATTTGACGCAGTTTTCATGGTGAGCCGACTGGTGCATGCTGAAGTGGAACACCAATGATTTCTAGCTTGCTATTTTTATCCGGGCATGTCAATTTTATTTTTATTTTGAATTGGCAAGTTAAAATTCGTTTGACCATGCCCATGGCGAAATTCTAACATCTGCAGCGTTGGTTGAGTACTAGCTGCAGTAGTAAATAGATGGTTGAAGCCACAACTCTGAAGAGATAGCTTCGTGGCTTACTTTTCACATATTTCAGTATAGAAAAGAAGAAAATGAAACCATTCGTCCCAGCGTAATTGATAGGGCATTCGAGCATCTCATCACACTGAGACGGCGTTTTCATGCGTGTGGTTCCGGTGGGGTATTCACCCATTGATCATCAGATTGGGTTGTGTCTTCATTTGCACAATGTTGGAGCTGAACTCCATTGAGGATTCCGGAATCCCTACGTCCTCCAGTCAGCTACTATACCATGGCATCAAGTCAGCAAATGTCTTTGGTAGAAGCAGTAAAGGACGCACTTGGGTTGAATCATTTGCTCAAATGCGGATCTTGTATACTTCCTCTGTAAACTAATATAAGAACGTTTAGATCACTAAAGTAGTAATCTAAACACTCTTATATTAGTTTACGGAGGGAGTAGATAATAAGAGACATGTCTGACAAAATCCCCTATTTGTATATGAGAGCATCACGCCCAGGTCCGACACCGATGTAATGGACAGGGATACCAACCAGCTCCTCTATCCTCTCCACGTACAGACGCGCGGTCTCCGGGAGATCATCGTAGTCCCGCACCGACGAAATGTCCTCCTCCCACCCAGGCAGGGCCTCGTACTTGACCTACACCAGCAGAGACCACCGTCAAGCCAAGCAAATCACACGAATATCAGAAGCTGGTCTTCGTTCTTCGTTACCTTTGTTTGCTCCAAGATACCGAGGTCTGCCGGGAACGACTCGATCGCTTTGCCATCTTCGGTGCAGTAGGAAGTGCCCAGCTTGATCTCCTTCAGCCCGGTCAGCACGTCGAGTTTCGTCAGGTTCAGGGAGGAGAAGCCGTTGATTTGGCAGCAGTATCTGAGCGCGACTATATCGAGCCAGCCACAACGCCTGGGCCGACCTGTTGTGGTCCCAAACTCCATTCCCGATGCGCGGAGCAAATCGCCCGTCTTGCCCAGCAGCTCCGTTGGGAATGGGCCAGATCCAACCCTGGTTGTATAAGCTTTTACCTGCAGGTACAAATATGTTCGGTTTTGGAGCGGAAGACGAGTTGGACGATGAAGAGAACGTTAAGAGGTTCAGAGGTAACTGAGCCCACCACTCCGATGATATCGCCGAGGGTTCTTGGAGCAATGCCGAGGCCAGTACAGATCCCCCCAGCTGAAGGACTTGAGGAAGTAACAAATGGATATGTCCCAAAGTCAATGTCTAACATGGTAGCCTGACCACCTTCAACCAAAATTTTCTTCTTCTGCAAGATCGACTCATTCATGAAATGCACGGTATCAGTAATGTACGGTCCCAGACGTTCGGCGAACCTTTCGTACTTCTCGACCTCCTCTTTGAGGGTCTTGGTGCTATATTCAAATCCTTTGAACCGCGTCGCTGCATCTTTCAGCAGGGTGTTAAGCTTGGCACCAAAGGTGTCCATATGCCGCAGATCACTGACCCTGAGCCCGTTCCTGATGACCTTGTTCGAATAGCACGGTCCGATTCCCCTCTTTGTTGTTCCTATGAAGGAGTTCCCGAGCTCCACCTCTCGAAGCCCATCGACAACCTGATGGAAATCAAACAGAAGATGGGCACGGTCTGATACCAGAATTCTCCCTTTGCATGAAACCCCGTTGGACTCCAGTCCGTCGATTTCTTTGAAGAACCCAGGGAGGTGAACCACCGCTCCGTTACCAATCACGCACTGTGTGTTCTCGTTGAGGATACCCGACGGGACGAGGTGCAGCGAGAACTTCTTCCCCTCGGAATTATATATGGTGTGTCCAGCATTGGCTCCACCCTAAGAAGTGATGTAAAACACCCTACACGTTAGGAAGAAGGTAAAACATGCAACATCAAATCTTATTGCAGAAAGTAAGAGCAGGCAATAGAACCAAATTAAGCTAACTGGCTACAAACGCGCAGAAGGAACGGTCAGTTGAGTGAACTCGACGAGCTACGATGTCGGAAACAGGGACATTGTAAAAGAGCTAGAGAACTGTGAGAATTTACAACATTTTTAACAAGTCGAAGCTGAATGGTCCCATTTCTGATTGCACGATCACCGAACCAGCGACGGCATTGAGCAATTTCGGATGGCGCTTGACCGGAGAACTGTGGGGCAATTCATCGAACACCATCCGGACTAGACAAGCGAAGGCATTAAGCAGCAGCAACGAGAGAGCGCGCGCGAGAGAGTGGGAAGTGGGAGACCTGGCAGCGGGCGACGACGTCGAAGCGCTGGGCGAGGATGTCGACGAGCTTGCCCTTGCCCTCGTCCCCCCACTGGGTGCCGAGCACGCCGGCCACCTGGCTGAGCGACTCGAGCCGCCCCCGCGCGGCCGCGGCAGCAGAGGACTCCTCCGCGACGGCGGAGACAGAGGCGGCCCTGAGCACCACCAGCCGGCGTAGGCGCGGGCGCGGCCGCGCGGCGGGGAGGAGGTGGTGGGCGGCGGCGGGGTCCAGGGACGGGAAGGCGGAGACGGGCATGGCGCCGATGGAGGGAGAGGACGATCAGGTTGAATGCGATGGCTGTGGAAGCGCCGTTATCCCCTCGGCTCAGTCCAGAAAATAATAGTCTGAATTGTCTCCAGTTTAAAAAAAAAAGGTCTGAATCATCTCAAGTTTCAGAAAGAGGTTTGAGTTGTCTAATAAGGTTTCAAAAGAAAGAAATCTGAATTTTTCTAACGTAGAAACTGTATTGTAGCAATGCACAGATTCAGAAAATGGAAAAAACTATGACTATGCAACAGTTTCATCACATAAAGTTGCTTTTGCTTTCGGGAAGTGCTATTGTGAGCCCGAGCGGCAGTGATCTCGTTATCTGCACCCCTAGCTTGTCTCGTGATGCACACTGCTGGCATATAGGATCAGCTATAATTTATGTATTTCTTATTTTATTATGGCTCATGGCCCACAACACAGATGCAGCTTCCATTACACCGTCAGGCATGCTTCATGCGGCCCACATGGAGAGAAACGATATGAGCCGTTCCGATCCAGATTATAGACTAACACCGTCACCGCATTCATTTATTGTGTCCTCCCGTTGGAGCTACCAGTCTTCCCCCAACAAGCTAGTCATCTTCATAATCTTGTGATTCGACTGGAAGCCCTCCCAGGTCTGCCGGTGCATCCTATCCCCACCGGAGCTAGTGCCACCACCCACATCCCTTATCCACCATGTCTGCATCATCGTCGTCCGTCAGCCTAAAGGAGATTTCGCCGCTCATTCCATGCCCTGACTGCGGCGTGCAGATCGTCACCTGGATTGCTCATGGTGGATCGAACGTTGGTCATCGGTTCTACAAGTACATGAATAAAGATGTAAGATTTATCATCAAAAACAAGATGTAAATTCTAGTCATATAGTTACTCATGCGCATGGATCGGTTCCTAAATTTGTCTTATGCTTTTCTAATTTTTTCTATAGAAGATTGGTCTGTGTGGATACATGAGGTCGAGCAAGGAGTGTCGTGCTGAGCTTAGTAACCATTTTGGCATGGATCAGCAATTCAGCAGCCAGTCCGTGCCAACCCCATCCGATATCTTATCTGAACCGAAGAGCTCGTCCAGCCAAGCAAACAAGCAATGGATTCGTGCAGGTGAGCTGGCACGAAATGGTCGACTGGAGCCACAACCATGGAGGGGTCAGGCACGTTTCAATTAGGCAGGCTCATTGGTCGACAAGTTGCCCCTGCTTATATTTAGGTGCTGCCAACCTGTTAGTCGCAGTGTTTATGTTAGTGTCACCTAAACAATTCAAAGCAGTGTTAATACTGGGGAGTTCGGTCATGCACATTCAATCGCTCAGCATATTAATATAGCTGATACTCACTTCTGCATCCAGACATATCAAGCCTGACAACAGGTATTTTAGGGCCTGGAGGAGTCCTCGTTATGTCCCCTGTTAAAATGGAGCTAAGATCAGTACTGGATTACCACTTTCGCTGAAGCAATCTATTATCAATAGCTCTAGCTGGGCAGTCAGTAAAACCTCTGGTGGTGTAGCATATGCACCTGTTGCTAAGTACAGCCATGAGTTTATCGCCGAACTTGATCATGTCGGCCTGTGCATTAGCCCGCGCAGTACTGAGTTTGTGCTGGCACCTAGCATTTTGCTCCTTCAGTAGAATAGTTATCTCATCTATTACCTGAACAGGAAAACAAATTCACCAATAAATCACTTTAGTGCAGGTGTGTAATTTCTCGGAAGTGGAAGCTAATGGAAATGATGAGTGAACAATTAGTGACATGTGGCTTTCTGCCCAACAAGGCATTTGTGTCACATACCAAACTTGGGTATCGGCTGGGAATGTGCTTTGCAAAGTCGATTGGATCGAGGACACGGTGTGGTGTCCTGACATCCATGATAGAGCTGCTGATGATGACGATGCATGCACTGCACCTAACCTTGCTTCTGTGTGATGCTCAGGGCTTTGATTTTGATTGGTGACGTCTGCTGGTTGGTTATTTATTTTCTCAGTGCATTCTGGTTGCTTGCGGCGGGCATAGCATACATCCGCATCTGGTCGGAGCTGTCGATCACAAATTTGAAAGTTAGAACAACCAAATTCAATGTGTCAGCCAACGCAACACATCTGAGACAAAAATAGTGATTACCTTGGAATTCGAATATGATGTGACGCT